GAGTAGGCCGTAGCGCCGCTGCCCGGGCAAAATTTCCCTCATAGCACACTATATGGCGTATGCCCGTCTTCATTAGCCCAGTTTAGGAGCAGAACATTTAAACCCCATTTCATTTCATTTCATTTTATTCCCCAGATTTTCTATAAAGGACAACCTTTGATCAATATCGCATATAGTTCAACAAAGACATCTCAATCCAAAGAAACTGGCCATTCAATTGATAATGCTTTCACAGAAAGGTATGTACAACGATATCATTTCCAAATTGCCAATGTACAATTCGTCAATTAAGACATATATTTTGGTAAAAGCAAAATAATTCGTTCTAAGATTATACTGAATATATTAATTTTATAATTTTAGAGCTAACGAATTGTCGTATAACATTTCCACACCAACAGACGACAGACCAGAAACTCAGAATAGATCCTTTATATTTCCTGTCCCCCATGCCACTTCATTGTTGGGAAACATATCTCAAATAAATCCACTGTCGCAACAACCTTCCACTACCACAACCAATCAATTAGTCATCGTTACTGATGCCAATAAAGACTCTACAACAGAGACACATTGCAAATCTAAGATTCCAGTAGAACCAATATGTCCACCAGAAACAAATAGTACCCATCACCAACAGGATCAACAGATGGAGATACAAAAGGAAATTAAAAGAAATTTGTCAAAATGTGTCAGTGTGTTATTGATACACGACAGCGAACTGATTTCCACTCCGGACATTGACGAAGACTTTTGGAAGAAACCATTTAAAGATGTTCAGTTGTCCAAAGATATTTGGTTGGATGTTGGTAATTGGGATGACTAGTGTAATGCTGCTCCATCAATACTAGCGGATCTATTAAAATCATGCAAAGATTTAACAGTTGTTGATCTGAATGTATTCTTAGTTATGGTTTCTACTGTTTTATCATGTTATTACTAAATATAATATATTGTTTTAAATCTTTTTTGATTCTGACTTATTGTAGCAACTAAACATATTAGTCTTCCTGTACTGGTACAGGTTGAATAGTTTCCACCTATATGGTTAACTCTGAGATGTGTTTGTGTTGCTGTAGGTATTTGAAGACACGTGTATTGTTCAAATGTCATTTTCTATTTATTCGCTCGACAAAATGTTGCCAGGGTGGTACTTATTCTAATTTGTTCATGTGAAACAGTTCCATCCCATATATATTTTACAACGCAACAAATTTAGACATTTTCTTCTTCTAAATCTAATCAACAGTGGCCTGATAGATTTCAACACAATTTTGTAGGTATTAGTTCCAGTGCCATACGGGTAAAGCTTATTCATATTCTCTAAATGAAAATGCTGGACAGGTGGGAATATGGACTGGGCACTTTAATAATGTCTCATAATTCACATTAGTTACAGAAATTATTTATATTATATTGTTACTGGCACTGAAACACCAATGTGTGTTTAAGTCACGTCGGGCAAAAGTTTGTTAACATCTCTTCAAGAAAATAATATTACAAGTATTGGTATGTATTTATTTTTCCTTTTTGTTTTGTTTTCCTTGACATGTTAGGAAAATGTACACGAGGGAGTAGCCTGGCAAACTATATTCATGTCAGTTCAATTTGGTACCTGTTGACATACCGCTATTTGCTGTGTTAATTGCTTTTAATCAAAAACTTCCTACATGACCATTAAACACAATTAGTTTCGATCCAATGGCTACGTTTATCTTTTACATGTATATAAATTAAACAATGGACAGAAGGGCCAACGCTCACTGAACTGGAAGACAACTTTTTAAGTTTAACGACCTAAGGAGCCGAGTTTAACGACCTAAGGGGCTGAGGTCATTATCATCATCCATTACGTCGTCTGTCTATTGGATTCTTCTAATTCAATGGTTTCAAACCGTTTCCTCCCCTTGGGACATTTTACAAATCTCTGAAGACCACCGCGTATCACAATATACTCAGTCACTTTTTCCGTATTACATAAAACTTGGACAAACCTTAACTATCTAAATAACCATTCTCATCAAAAATTTGTTAAATCAAAACCATCCAAGGTTCCTATTAATGTGACTCATTCTGATATCGACTACTGAAATCATTCACCGAATACCAACAATTGCATAATGAATTTTACCTGGGTATTTGTTTTTCGCGAACCCCCTTTCCTCGCGGAACCCTTTGACTTCATGGACCCCCAAACGTTTTTGACAGGCCACTACCGGGTCCGGTGAATACCAGGTTGGTAGAAATATCACCCAGATTTGCGTGTTGCTTGAGTGGCACCGATTCTGATTCCTATAGATGATGATATTGATACATTTGTAGCCTACACATGGTTAAGGAGTTGTTGGATCTCACATAAATGGTTAGTTACGGGTTTATTTGGATTTCACTGTAAAATTAAGACTTCTTTTAAATCACTTTTTTTTTTTACTAATGCGGGCTTTACAATATCTTTAAATATGGATTTGGGTGAGTTTTGCTTATTTAAAGTAGCTAAGTCTCTAACTCAATCTCATCCAATTTATTTGTCAATTTAAATCAACATTGATGTTGTGATCTTACCGGGAAAAGATGGGCTTCTGATATCCAATATTTACGACAAAATAAACATTTTACCATTGGTACACGAATCGTGTACCAGAATGCGCTTCGAAGAACGAGGCTAGACATATTCCACAAGTCATGTCAAACAGTTACGCCATATCCTTATCTGGAGGGTATGCGCAATAAATACTATCTGTGTAATCTGGAATAACCAGACGCTAGAGATTGCCATTCGATTGAGTCTTTTGGCGTATTTCGCCGAAAATAACTGATTTGAAACTAGAGTAAAAACGGAAACGATTGAATGAAAATCCGTTTATATACATTCGTATTACATTATTACACATTTACGTCAATTTCTAGGTTCCAAGTATTTGCAATTTAGCTCTTTTAAAATAGCTTATCGGGTAGATTGACTTCTTGAAAGTTTTCAGTTGAATTAGAACGTTATTTGTTAAATTTGGGATGGTAGGACCAATCTACGTCATATGAAGGGGAGGTAAAGAAGTAGAGTTCATCACTGTGGCGAATCTTTATTTATTTAATCAAAAAAAAAAAAAAAAAACCCAACAAAAACGGATCATAGACTAAATATTTGTATAATAATAGTCCTCTCCGTATATAGTGTTGTAGTGTTGTTGATCGATGACCATGTTATCGACAGGTTATATTCATGGGTTACTTGTCACCAATAATGTTGAGTGGTGGAGCACGGTCATGCCCAGATGAATCGGTCATTTAGTACATCAAATATTTATACCACAAGTTATTGACTTACATACAGGTTTATTTTCGCTTCACAAAATTCTCTTGCATGTCTTCACATAATACAGATAGATCCAGAAGCCTTAAGAGAGTTTTACGCTTTATTGCCACTTGACAATACATGTAGTTAGGTTTTTCACTTGTTTTACTTGTAATCCAATGGCACTTCACATATTAATTGATTTATACATGCTTTCCTACTTTAGTATTGTTCACTAGCAATTTCTGTGATTGTCCGTAGTCTCGGCGGTCACGCAATGTCAGACCTTATTAATATAATAATAATCAACAACACACTTTATGTTCCCTGTGATAGTGCTTTTCAAAGAATGACCCACGTCAATATTGTCCGGGATCTACTGAAAGCAACAGTTTATTTTACTGTCCACTTAGCTAAGGTTCCTGCTTTTAACATTTCCTGTATTATGCGTATTTCTGGTTCCCACAAACATAAAAGGGTCGTATCGGTTTTCGTTCAGTGCAATAAAAAGCCGATTATTTTATAATATTACGGACAATTAAACTTCATGGACTTTTCTTAAAGGCTGTCTTTGACTTTGGTGACTATCAAGTTCAAATACCTCAATTGGTTCAGTTACAGAGAACTGTGAGATCAGTTATCATGATCTGTATATTTGTGATGTTTATATTAAACATTTTTAATCGAGCATGGTGTTTGCATAGTTGCTCACAAACAGATTTCTTAATGTCAAAATTAGATTTCGATACAAGGCTTGAGGGTATGGTTTTCAACACTTTTGAGAATATCGGATTGATGAAATGTTCTTATTATTGTCTAGTATATACCAACTGTCGTTCATATAATTATTACGATGGCAGTGGATATTGTGAATTAAATGAAGAAAAGGACAGTTTTTATCATGGTAACATAACCACACAGATAGGATTTGTATATGGCAGTAAAGATGACGTACCCAGGGTATGTACTTAATATTTTATTAGCGCAATAACTGTTATAAATTCAGTTCCATTGAAATCTTGCTACTGACGTCTTCAAAATTTTACACGACAAGAACTTGCATTGAAATCGTTCTACTGACATCTTTAAAATTTCACACGATAAGACCGTATTAAATGGAATGACATAAAATCTGATTTGTACCCGATAAATATGTCCATATGACAGTTGGGGCGGGGGTGGGGTGTTACAGACGACGGGGCCTTTCTTTTACGAGAAATTATTATGAGTTTTTATAACCCTGTAACGGTATATCTCTTTGATCTTTGGGGTATATTCTATGCCCGGAATAACTTGCGGTCTGAAATTCGGGGGCGGCTTTGGATATATACGGGTTATTCTTCTGAAAGTTTTTCTTCAAACCTGTACCGGGTTATTCTTCCAGGGTAGGTTTTCTTTTCATATAAGAAAATATATATATAAGGTTTTTCTTACGGGAATTCCGGGATATTCTCGTCTTGCGTACATGTAAACATAGACGGTTTATAAGCAAGATAAAGTCCTCGACTTCGGTTATGCTGGGGAAGAAAGACTTCAGAAAAAACCTCTCGACAGAAAAACCTCGGCCTGCCGGCCTCGGTTTTTCTTTTTCTCGGGTTATTTTCTTCAGTCTTTCTTTCCCCAGCATAACCTCACTCTCGTGCTTTATCCTACACATAAAATCGTCCAAATATTAAAACCAAAAGTTTTTATTTAAAAGATTTACACCGAATGGAGATCAAAATCAAACTGATTTAAAATCGTACACCCTTTTTATCAATGAAAGTAAATCCCCCCATTTAGATCATTATTAATTCTCCATCCCAGTTTTCAGGAATTGTAACCAGATCATCATCCCAGTTTTCAGGAATATGCATGAGATCATCATCCCAGTTCTCAAATAATTCTTCATCCCAGTTTTCACTTTGTACAGTGCTCAAAGATCTTATTGGCTTGAGATCATGAAACTTTCTTTTTAGTGTACGGACAGCTAACACAGTTATAACTGAAAGACAATAATAATATCTTATGCAGTGTGGGGACCGGTTATGTCAAGGGAATTACTTGTCGATTCTTCACCATACTGACAAAATTTTTAGGATATAAACGTCATTTCTCTCCAATTACCATACTTCAATATTCCGCTTATCCCCTTAGTAATTCCAATAAGTTTATAGAACTAGAATGATGAAACGTTGAGTTATATTTATCCTGTACTAAAAATTGTTTGAAGAAATCTCTTATGGAAACCTTTGGAACGATTGAAATATATAAATAATAAAGTATTATACCTATATCCAGGATAAGAAAACCCAGTAAACACTGAATCTCCGTTATCCCAAGATCTGAAATAAAACAAAAAATACAAATTATTATCTCTATCGATCTAAATATTAATTTTCATAGATAACATACCATACGACTTGTAAAAATAGTATTTCGAAAAGATTGATTTCCCAAAATTGTTAAAACGAAAACTTACCTAATGCCAAAATTTGTCCACCAAGACGAACTTTTGGATTAATACATACGGTAGATATATAATTCATTATTCCATCACTGGAATAAAAAATAATGATAAAATAAAACTAGAAACAAATAAAATCAACATAGGTTTATTCTGTGTCCGTAAAATATGGCAATTTGATATGAATAAAGCAGGGCTCACCAAACTACCGCCCGCGGGCCGCATGCGGCCCGCGACGTCAGTGTGTCCGGCCCGCCGTTGCATGCTGAAAAAAACAAAAAACAACATGCTTTAGCGTCTAACATTTCTTACATAACGCATATCGTATACTGACTGGCTGAGTCAGTAATTATCCCGACCTAATAGCTGACACATCTATACTTTCTATATAAGAAAGAGCGAGGTTAAATTTCCCTTCAGACATCATCCGACGTTCCTAGCCGTACGACCGGAATAACTCTCACCACAGAACACGCGCTAAGTGATAGAGAACTTATATTTAGTTTATATTTAATGTTTTAGCTGTGTGTGTAGTTTCCTGTATGTAAGTAACCTTTGCATTATGGATGTTATAAAGATATATAAAACATAGTTAACCAACAAAGTGTTTCAAAGTCAATTGATCCTTGGAAATAAATTATACACAACGTGAAGTCAAAGAGACAGAGAGAGAGAGAAATGGGGTTTAACGTCCACTCGACACAAACTAGGTCATTTCGGGACTAACATAATTATGGTTTTTAATTTTATTTCAGTAATTCGCTTGCGCGTAGGGGTCTTTAGCAGTGGGAGGAAACCGGAGGACCCGGAGAAAACCCACGAGGTTGGACAGGCGACCCTACTCCTTGTCACGTACAACCGGGATTCGAAACCACGCCAGTTGACTCAATGACAGGCTTTATGATAAAGAGCGCACGTGCTAACCATTCAGCCATACAACACCCCGTGAAGTCAAAGTTAGTTCCTATTTGACTGTAGTGTCACAGAATGACTATCCTTATTTTTATGTACATTCAGTGTATTCTGTACTCAGTGTATCGTTTTGAACAAAATATTTAGCGGACCCAAGCTCGTTATTCTTTCAGTTATATCTGGCCCACTATGAAAAAAGTTTGGTGACCCCTGGAATAAAGGATAATGATTAAAGGCTCAATACCACTCTTGTTGTAATTGAATAATATGTCCCTATCTTTATTCTGGTCAACAAATTGTACTATTTTACAATATTCCAATTAATTGATGATATAAATTTCATCTTAACACACCTAATTTAAAAAAATTGGAAAAACTCAACTAAATGATTTGAAAAGCCTGGCGTAAAGCTTTTCAAATGTGACTTGGATTTAAAAATATTTTTGAACCCTCTGGACAAGTAAAATAGGATTTAATGGATAATTTACACAACAGGTAGGACACTAACACATCTAGTACTTAGCCAGCAAGAGTGTTATTGTCTCTTTAAATTAATTTGAATTTGAATTCCACAAAATCTACATATCTAGATATCTATGCTTCAGAATAAAACTGAAAAACTTAGGTTTGAGAGACTGTGAATCTTGACAAGAAATACTTACAAATTATGTTTCCATACTTTTGGTGAAATAGGTTGGCTAAGGAACGCGAAACTCAGCAAAAACATCAGAGAATATCTGCAACACATCTTGACAACTAAAATATTCTGTCTAGAATGATGAAAAGACAATAAGTAACCATAGTTAGTATCATAGAAGTGAATAAGTATAACGTATTTTTATTATGACGTCATGATGGGATGCTTGCAAATTTATTTATATGTAATATAGAAAAATAAACGTTTTTTGTTTTGTTTTTTTAAAACTCAAGCTGTGCTTTTATTGTTTTAATTCTTTTTCTGTTATAGCCAAAGGCTTTTTGCATGTTTCTCGAAATAGTCGATTTTTCGACTTTTCAATGATAAATGTCATTCCATTGTGACATTTTGACAATAAATGGTTTGTTCCCAGTAATCTGATGATCATAGTGTCCCAAACTGTACATTAAATATGGTTCAAGGGAGATAAACTATTAAAAGACGATCTGTTTGGGCTTATTTTCGTCAAAAATATCATTGGAAAATATAAACACAGTCTAAAGATGGGAGATTTCCGCGTTCTTGGGTAGACCCTATTTTCCCGAATAAGATCTAACAATTTAACTAAGAATTTAGGTCACTTGCCTTTAAGGTAACGATTTAAAGTAAATCTTTTATAATAAATATATTTAGCTAACAAACAAAGTAGAAACAATATCAAACAATTACTTACCCATTTAAGGTAACGATTTAAAGTAAATCTGCCATATTGTTAATTTTAAATTCCCCACATTGTATAACATATTCTTAATATTACTATTACAACCTTTTATTTGGTGTAACAATTATAGCATTGTAGATTTTGTTTGTTTGAAACATAGTATTTTGTAGCCATATGTGGAAAGCCACCTTGCTAAAAAAAAATCCCCACACCCAACGTGTGAGGCATACTCTTTTCTCAACTATAGATTTTATTAGCCCTGTGATCGTCTCTTGTTATATTTGTATTCTCTTCGAATTTGGCTAGGACTCACGTTGTGTATTTATTTTTATCTCAACCGCTAAGACGTATGTCTACAGGAACAAGAATTCAACGGTTCGCTGTAACATTTTATGCCAAGCACTGGATACATAGGTTACAAGCATAGATTTACAATAAAATCATTCTCTCAATCTCGCTCCCATCCAAACTCGCCAGCGCGAGTCTGCTGACAGAAACTGCCACATCTTCTCCCTAAAGAATCTGCCGTGTGTCTAACTATGTAGGATCTAAATCAGTCTTTTAATCATTGGCAGTGACCTTGAGACAGCTCTGTCAATTACTTAATTGGACAAATATTACGTAAATAATTATTATGATTGCTTACTAAGCCTAATGACGTCGAAAACCACCCTTGCGGTGCAGGACGGGGGGCCTGACAAGGACAGCTGTCTAGTCGTTCGGATGGAACGAAAAACCGAGGTCCCATGTACACAATGGCATGCACGTAAAAGATCCCTTGACAGTTTGAATTCGATATAAGAGTAGGCCGTAGTGCCACTGTCTGTGTAAAATTTCCCTCATAGCCCACTGTATGGCGTATGCCCGTTTTCATTAGCCCAGTTCGGAGCAGAACAGGACGTTAAACCCCATTTCATTTCATTTCCACCCGGAGTGCCAGACGTGTTATTTTGTTACTAACCCAGGATTAAATGTTTACCAGATTATAGCCGATTTTATGTATCAACTTATCAATCATTTTAACTTGTCTTCGTAGGATATCGTTTTGTAATGAGGTTCTGTGCTGTTCAATGAAAGCATAATAAATATTTCTCGAGGTATACTTAGTGTTTTCGACTTAAAATGTTGGTCAACTAGCTTAGTGTCTGTCCCCAAGCGACGCTAATTGTAGACAGACCGCCTAAGTTTAGTATGCAATATTATGTGTGTATGCCTGAGTTCAACACTGATTTATTTATGAACTGATATTTATTTTAGAGAATTGCTGGGTTATGTGAATCAGTTTCATGTCCTAGCAACCACAGATGTGTTGAAACGGTGCATGGAACAACTTATTGTGAACTTACAGGTTGGTTACTTTATACATCTATATAGTTGAAAGTTTTGGAATATCCAACTAAAGAATTTGTCATCTAACTTTGTTTTAAAAGCCTTGATCTTCACAAATTCTGAAGCCTACAGTCGAGGTATCTTCCAGATTATTTTCGAAATTGGTCAAATTTAGCACAGAACTTGCCTTGAACTAAAATAAGCTCACTAACCAAGTAACTAACAATTCCCATAAATACTACTTCAACATTCCCTCCATTCGTTGTTTATATTTCAGGGAGAGTTAATGTAGCTTTACATAAAACAACTTCACAAAGTTCTATGTTTTCCAAATATCCTGGTTGTTGTAAAGCTAGCCATGCAGTGGATGGAAGTGCTAGTAGTTACTGGATTCACTGGACGTGTTCTACCACTGACAATAATGATTTTAATCCCTGGTGGACAGTATCCCTAGATGGACAATATTACATCACTGGAGTAGAAATCATCAGTGCTCAAGATACCGTGCGTAAGTATAATCTTGATACATGTATTTTGAAATTTTAGCTTAAAAAAAGAAACCCTTTAAGACGCATTATGTAAAATACAGATAAAGAGCTGGCTGTTCCTGCTATAATAGTTCATAAAGAAGTGACGCAAAATGAATATATTGAAAAATTCATTTAAATTACTTTATTCTGAGCAAAGTTATCACTGTTTGAAGTTTTGAAAATATGTTGCATAGATTGTTTATTATCGTAGCAACGGTACTTATTAATCGAGACTAAGCCCCGATTCACCATTTTGTTTTATATTAAATCATTAAATCTCCACCATCCGATGTTCTAGGCTTGCCATGTAAATAAATGTCTAAATAATAGTTTACATAACATTTGAAGCCAAAGTAAAGACATGCAATAATGGGCAGATTAAGCACTTACATAATGCATCTTTAATAATCTTATAATCCTTTAGAAGTAGAAATGAAATGAAATGGGATTTAAGGTCCTACTGTTCTGCTCCAACTGGGATAATGAAGACGGTCATAAGCCATCGAATTCCGACTGCCAAGGGATATTTTACGTGCACGCCTATGTGTACACGAGACCTCGGTTTTTCGTCCCTTTCGAACGACTAGACAGCTGTCCTTGTCAGGCCCTGCGTCCTGCACCACTGTAAATCCCGATGAACTTTCGCGACCTAACCCGCGTCTTACCCACTGAAAGATAATGAATGTTCTTATAAAGGAAACTACTGTAAAGCATGTTACTTTTAAAAATTGTATTTGCCTATCCTGGAATCTGCATACAAGATTTTGTTGCGTTTATTATTTTCAGCTGAAAGACTTCATGATATTGGTATTGAGGTATTCACAGATTCCTCCCCTGAACCTGTGTGTTGTAGATTTATATCCGGATCATTACCATCAGGTTTATCAAAAATCAACTGTTACCGACCTATTTATGGTAACTTGCTGAAAATATCAATCCAGAAGTCTGAAATACTGATGTTATGTGAAGTTCGTGTATACTACGTTACAGGTAAACAATTATGTCTTTTCTTTGCATCAAAATAATATGATTACCGGACTAAGTAATTAACTGATAGATCAAGCTATAGCCATTAAATGCATATATGTTTGGTTTTCCTTCAATAGATGATAGCTTATTTTAATCAAACTTTAAAGATGCATTATGTAAGATTTTTTATGAAGAGCTGGTCGTTCTTGCTATCGTAACCTGGCTACGTCTTGTTAACATTGCTTATTTCAGACTACAGGGACTTTGGTTTAACAGCGGCAATTAATGGCAGCTGTTTTAATTCGTGTGAGTGTTTTAATATTTTATGTAAATGTAAATTGCCCGTCCGTCCGTAACTTATTTGATCAGATCAAATTACACAAAAGCAAAAGTAGATTGCGAGCGCAATGGAACCAGTGTCTCTGTTTTGCGTTCGATTTTAACGAGACTGGTATGTGCACCTGCGTATGTGGATTGTTTAAAATTGTTCTACCATTCAATTCATTTGGTCATTAATTCACGGAGTTATTGCCTCTTTCTTAGTTCGAGTTATTGTACTTCAAATATAAAAATGTCGAATATAAGTAACAACTTGAGAAGTTAGCAAGATTTTCATTCCGTAATTAAACCTACATTATGCAAGAGCTAAATCTGTCTATTGTAGGTCTTTCTTAAAGCCTGAAATGCTGTCTAAATTATTATTTAAACATTAATTAGCTTATCAAGACCATATTCAACTCTTGATGCCATCGTTAACCTGCGATATTTAGTGGATCTGAATACCTTTTAACGCCAAAATGGATAACCGAGACTTTTTTTTGTTATCGTACAAACGGTAGTTATGACGTTCGAGACTAGCCTAAAATTGAATCTCTAATATCTCAGTTCAGAGTGAAGCAATCTGACTGAAATTTTCAGCGTATTCTATATTCATTATCTATTTTTCAACCATTATAGCCAGAACTGTCAGCTCTTTATCTAATCTTCCATAATGCCCATATTATTGTCTGTGGTATTTCAGATGGGCCGAACGTTGCGCTCAATAAGGTAGTTATGGTTAGCGGTTTAAACGCAGCGAATCCACCAGATCCGGTATCATATGTTGTAGATGGGAACAAATTAATTCAAGATAACTTGGGAGCTACCTGTTCGGGTGTTATTTCGTCAGATGGTATAACAAGTTGGTTCCAACTCGACTTGGCACAGATTTTTATAGTTGAATCTGTGGTCATCTATAATACACTCAAAAAGTATCAAGATTGTAAGTTACCTTTTTATGCGCCTACGTCTAATAGGAAGAACCCTAGCGATTGTGAAAATTCTGCGAAATTATGATAGATTTGTCATTTTAAAAACCTGGTTAAATTGTTTTCAAACCGAATCGGTGGGATTTATTGACCTAGGTTTCATGTAGCTCCCCTCCCCCAACACTCACGCCCTGCGTCGATGTGAACTAATACTATTATCTTCGTCTGAAAACACTAATAATAACAGATGTTAGAGGCTTGGCTATATAAAATTTAAGAGATATATGCTTTGATTTAATCTGAAATAGACAGTAAACTAAGTTGGAATAGCCTAGTTTCTTTTTTACCCGAAACCTTTTGGTTTTGCAGTCGAACAATTCTGAATTTCGGTCCGATTTTTCGGTATGTCTCAATAAAGAATGCCATCAAGTCCATCTAAACGCTGTCCTTTACAAATTTGAAATAAAAATTTATATGTACATTTCAGATGTAGATTTGAATAATGTAACTGTCTCTGTAAAGGAAACTCTAAGTGGCATATCCAAATATTGTACTTTTTACCATGGACTCTTTGGGCGAACGAGTAGAATCTTAGAGTGTGACACGCCTGTTACTGGACGATATGTGAGGATATCAGTACAAGAACAGAGCATGTATTTATGTGAAATAGAAGTGACTGCTATTTTACCCTGATTTATGTACATCCATTTCAGTAGCCGTTAGATTTTGTTTTTATTTCTTATATTAGAAATTTTTAGAATAACAGTCCCAAATATAACTTTGCCATGAAATCGATGATGAACGTCTAATAGCCAAAAACTAAAATATCAATATGTTAATCGCAATTTGGATGTGTGAATATTTACTTTTCAAAGCAGTGGCGGCGCCAGCCGTCGGTGATTGGAGGGGCAAAGCTGGGGCAAAGTCCAAGGTTAAGGGGGCAAAGGCACGAGCTTCAACTAGGGGTAGGGGGCCTCCCCCAGAAAATTTTGAAAAACAGGTTGCCGGAAATGCAGCCTGGCAGTATTTCAGGCACTGATCGATGAGGTAAAGTGTCAAATCACGATGAAGCCCACCCACGAGCGTCAAAGTAGGGAGTCCTCCCCCAGAAAATTTTGAAAAATACACTGCCGGAAATGCTGTCTTACAGTATTCCCAGGCACCGATCGTCGAGATAAATAGATCTGACCAGATACCGTCCGTCGCCTGATCACTAGTTTATCCGAATAGAGAACAAAATGTCAAACGAACAGACTTGCGAACCTCAACGAATTCCCCTTGTGAACGCCAAAGAAGCGAGTCCATTGGGGACCTCGCCAAGAAAATTTTGAAAAATAGACTGTCGGAAATGCTCTAAAACATGCAAGTTTATGACTGAGTGGGATGTGGGATTTATTCACCGTAGAAGGTATTGATTACCGAAACGTATCACAAATACTTTTTTTTATTTTCTAAAATTATTGGGGGGGGGGGGGCAAACAGAGGGCAGACCAGGTTAATGGTGTGAATTGATGTATATATATTGTTGTTGTGTATGTGGCTACACATGTTTCTACTATTACTGTGTGTTGGTTATAGTTTGTCACCCTGTAGTATTGGCAATGCCTCTTATAATTCTTTAAAAGATTTGTATGAATTTGAATATCACGTTTTTGTTGTTTAAGTGTGTAATACGGTACGGTACGTTAAAAGTTTGATTTAATTCAAATTATATCGATATGGCGATTATGGGTATCAAAATGATAAAATATGATAGTCTAATTGATGAATAATTGATAAATGACATGATAATTCCGTACGAAAATAGGAAGCTTAAATTGGTTTAGCTATGCCGACGGTACCCGATTGCCTCGTAAGAGAAACGGCTAACCGATAACAAGATAATGATAAATGGCTGGATGTTAGAGACTTCATCGGCGGAAAGTGAAAGAAAGAAAGAAGGCAGAGCCCTTTAACTGTGTCTTTTCGCGTAAGTATTTATTTTTATCTATATGACTATTTGACGAGAGTGTTTCTAAGTTTAGCTCAATTGTTAAGGAACAATTTATAAGCTTAAAATGTGTAAGTACATCTACTGTCAAGTTATTGAATTGAACTGGCAATACCCCCTGCCATGTGGTTGTCAAATGATATTATGGGTTCAAGGTAAGTTATTTCGAAGAACTGTGAATGTTAGCTACGAGAACGTAGCTAAAAACGTCGTTGAGATATACTGATGTGTTTGTTTTTAGCTACGATTGGATGCCTTAAGTTCCAAGAGGCAAACTCAATTTCTTTATTAATGCATGTAACATCTTTAAAATAAGGTATGTTTATGCTATTAGCTAGGCCAACACCTAAAAAAAAATAGTTGGTGATTGTCTTTTTTTTTCAAAAAATGTGGGAGGGAGGGTATACCGGGAGGGAGGGAGGTTTTTTGGGGGTTTTTTTTAATGAATATACAGAAAAAGCAATATACTTCAGGAATATTAACCTTTTATTTCATGTCAAAACACAACTCATCTGCATAATCGTCATTTGAATTGTTCAGATTAATTATTTAAACTTGAGATATTCCGCCTTGGATTCAATCAGATATAAAGAGATTTATAACTGAACACTTATAGGTGGTGCCGACTGGGTTAATGTTGCAGGATATCAAATGTTGCAAAATTTTCAATTCATATCATGTCTTTGGACTGATATTCTTTTTAGACATTCAACTTTCTTAATATTGTATTTTGCGAATAGTAAGACCAGAAGAGCCCGCCCCCCCCCCCCCCTCCAAAAAAAAAAAAAAATTTTGCATAACGACTTACGATCACTAATATTAATAATCGGTTGATTTAGTCATTCATGCCCCCCATGGCCATTCCGAAAATCTGTTGTTGCATTTATTCGAGAGACTGTTTCATGTAATTCAGAATCGGCGAGACGTATTCCCATCTTAACATATAGTTTCAGGTTGTATATGTTGTATTCAAAATATTGTATTTGGTGCTGTACGCGTGCAAACAAAAATGTCAGCCATTGTTGCCATTAACAGGTCGTAATTTCTTTATGTCGTTCAGTCCTACGCATTTGAAGAGTATTGGAACACGTGCCAATAATTATATCCGCTTCATTAACTCTTGCGATTAGGAATTTCGTAGCCTGGCTACATTTTGGAACTTTTAAGAAGGTAAATTTTGAAAATAAAAAATAAAAAAAAATTCTGGTCGGGTAGAATTTTCTGGGCGGGCGGGGACGATCACCAACCAATTTTTTTTATGTCGCCTTATGATTAATTAAACTTACAGAGGACAATGTAGTGGCACAACTGTCGCCTAACTCCAAATATTCGCGTTTAAATTAATGAAACGTTGTTTTTGTCTGACATTCACCGCCATCGAAAACCATTCATAGTTACAGTGCTTTAGATTGCCCTTTTGATTGGCTGTTATAAAGCCTTATATTTAGCCCCGCCTTCATGATGGCAGCGTATCGTTTATAAAGATGGCGGTCTTAGTAACGGCTTAACGCCTCGATTTTAAAAACGACGATTTGTACCCATTTCAGGTAGGATTATATGCTTAATTGTAGTTGGGTGTGGCAGAAATATTATATATAACAATAATCAATCGTTGTTTTGATTAACTATTGTCAATTTTGTTTACATCAACTCTTATCTTGAAACACGGAGGGTTGAGAGATAAGATTTGTTATCTATGTGACTGAGTATGTTCGTCTGGTGGTACTTTAAAGGAGAGGTGTGTCAAGTTACACTTTTTAAACTAATCTTTTTTTTTTATGAATGGAATATATGGTTGGAGCATATGTGCCATATATATATATATTGCCATACCATAATTACTCATTTACTGTCTGTTCCAGGTAATACTACGACTCAAAAATTGCTTTTCATTTCTTCAAATTTTAATTAAAATGGCTAAAACTTTGTGAAATACCTTGAATGGTCACCCCATTGCTTTCTTTCTTGTGAGAACTAAGTTCAGGTCAAGTTTTATAGCCTTTCTCCTTTGTAAAATCAAAGCTTGTTGACATTTTACTACTGGAAACAGCCATGTTTGGCCTAGTTATCTGGGCGAGCCGAAGTGGACAAGGGGTGCTGGGTTTGCTTTAAGTCGTTTCACCCTACTTTGATGTATTGGTGGTTGTTTCGGTTCAGTAGAATATAACTCTTTTCAAAGAGTTATTTACTGAATCCCAGACGACGGTTGTTTGTCCCACTAACTTGAATATTTAATTGCCCCCCGTCCGAAAATTGTAATTTTTTGATATCGATATAAGCTACATGCAAATTTTAACCCGCTACCGTGCTGACATGTGATGGAATTGTGGAAGGAGGCTGCAAGACATACTCAAACGTAACACGGTCCACAATGTCCATTGGTTATGGCGGTTTGCATTATTCAGTGGCTTAAAATTTGCCTTGAGAACTGTTGGAAATTTTAAACTTGAGCTAAGACTGGCATGGTGATAAACTAATTTTCTATGTAGCACAATTCCTAATGAAACCTTCAACAAAAATACTACTACTATTATATAAGATCATTTAGGCAGTTATTAAATCAATAACATGACATATGTGACTGTTATCTAAAGATTAAGATAAAGAGCTGATAGTTTAAATATTATAGTTTAAAAATAGATAATGATAAAGCACACTTCAGTCAAATTACATAATTCTGAGCGAAGTTATAAATGTTAGGAGTTTTGATAAGAAAAGCGCAGTCACAATTTCCATTGCTACCAAATGTTTTTAACCTTCCTTAATTTGCGATCCGGCTTTGTACAGCCCCGTACACAGAATTTACGTGTATATTATTATTTAGAACGTAGGCAATATTTTTTTTTAAAAACATTTCATTGGTTTATTATTCACTGTATTATGTTTCTCAAATAACTACAGTGATATAATTGTTTGACACATTCCTTGACAATATTCCATTATTTAAGGGACTATATTTTCCTAACATTCATTTGTTTTTGTTTTCTTTTCTACTACAACATCGGAAACAAATATGTTGTGCCTAAATCTAAAAGTCTATATTTAAAGGAATACCGGTATGTGAAACTATTGTAAATCCAAAAATTTGTAAGATATCTTAATAGGTTACTATTCCAATCCGATTAAAATACAGATCTATATTTCATTTCGCTTTTTTATACTTTCGATGGCCTACACTACTTGAAGATCTGACAAGTTATAGTGGAAGTTCACGTCGGGGGTCAACAGCGCGACTTTTGATCATTTGACATCAGACATTGATTAATCAATCAGCGTTAACGTTTCTAGTGGTTTACCCACAGTTCGTGCATCAAAAGCCCAAGAACTCGCCGTAACGACCGTTCAATGGCTAATCCCTCACATCATCCAGAACACGTCAATAATAACAACTCTTCCAGATTCTAGAGTAGTAAAGACAATTAAAACAATATTTTGAACTATACCAAAACCGAAACAAAATAGAATCTGTGTTTTAATCAGATTACCATTCAATTTGAGGCAATGCAATTCTATGAATATCGATAATGTAATGAACAGTGGGGAATATTAAAATCTGTTGATGTATATATTCGCAAAAATATAATTTTTGCCAGAATGACGTCATTTTCAGTGACCAATTGGTTACATCTAAGGAATATTCACAGAATGCTGCAATTTTTTTTATGAAAATCAAACAACTATTTATTCTTTTATGGGCATAAAAAGTTGAAAAGTGATTCCCACAAAATTGCTTATTTCCGGACATGTCAAAAATTTGAAATGGTCTATGGATTTCCGTTTGCTCTTATATATAACTTATATTATATATATGCCTTTGAAAATAGTTGTGTTTCAGCCTTAAGATCTAAATTGCAGGAAAACGAAATTCGAAAATTGGTTTCAGTCTTGCTCTGCTTATTTACAACAGCAGCTAAATTTTAACCCCTAAAAGTGTTCCGAAAAGGTAAAAAAAAAATGCTCATTTCTCTCAATCAGCTATAAAGTCTCAGAAAACAAAATTCGGAATCATTTTACCTGACATATTTATTCAAATTTAAATAAGGGCTAACCTTTTACACCAATTTACTTATTTCTGAGAGTTCGCATGGTTCTGACATGTGCCGACTTTTCAAAATAGCTTTAATCTTTAAGTCACTCAAAATTATCCACTGAGAATTTTTGTGCGAAATAAGCAAGGTGGAAACAGAAAAAAAAACCCATATGAATCTGAACAAAAACAATATTGTTTCAAACAAGCTTCAAAGTGTGAAAACCTGATAAGTATTATTGTCTCGAAACAAACGGGTGAATTCTCCTTCACTAGACATTTCTAACGGAATGTACCTGTCTACCCTAATGCGAAATGCAAGTGCCCTATTTAACGCACGCATAGTCGAAATGTTTATGTTCTGAGAAAGTGACGATGTTGAAATATATGAAATTTACAAGAGAATACTGGATTTTATCGGACTTCTAGTCATTTATTCTAAGGGAAGAAATCAAAGGGATGACAATTCCAGGTATGTCACAAAGTTTTAGCCATTTTAATTAAAAAATGAAAGCATGGCAAGCATTTTTCGAGTCAGAGTATCACCTGGAACAGACAGTAGGCTTCTACATATGGGAAAACACTTATTTTACAGTTTTGCTTTTGTAATGTACCATATATATGTACTATGTAGCCATTAAATTAAATACATTTCTTTATATTAATATTATTGAGTTAAGAGAGAGAGAGATGGGGTTTAACTCCACTTGACACAAACTACAAACTAGGTCACTTCGGGACTAACATGGTTCAATTTTATTTCAATAATTTGCTTGCCACTTGACTCAATGACAGAGATTTTGATTCAACGCGCACCCAACCCTGCTATTGAGTTAAAGACAATGTACAGTTAAGCTAATGTTTCATTTACATGTATTTGAAGATTAGGTAAGCAAAATAAGATGAGTGATTCAGAGGAAGATGGTAATCTACCACCTCAACAGGAATGTTTAGAAAGATGTAAACAATTTGCAGAATTAACAGGAACAGATAGAGCCTTGGCTATGTTCTATCTTCAAGATCGAGAATGGGACCTGCAGGTAAACTACAATAGAACTTTTGATGAATCCGTTCCTTTTATAACACAAAACGGTGATCATATCTATGAAGAAACTAAAAGTCTATGAATTTGTATCTTAAAGTATTAATGGTATGGTAATTGATTAATTTGTGTTGTTGACAGCATCCAAGGTAAAAATGAACTCATATTGATTATTTAACATTTGATTGAGAAAGCCAAACTAAAATATAATGGTAGATAATTTCCTGGCTTGGATTTATTTGGATTAAATAGTCCCATCGAAAGATATTAGATAAGCTTAAAGTTGACAATGGCTTGTTTATATGGGTTATAGGTGGAACGACCTTAAACCGATACAGCTCCAAAATGACCAAACATTGGTTATAATGGCCATAAAAATCAAATGACTCATTTGTTATTTACTATGAATCCAATGATATATATTTATCTGATCTTAGTTATTCATATCAGCTTATAATATTTATTGCTCATAGAATAATATGTTTAAATTTTTTTACATCAGAGATCTGTAAATGATTATTTTGAGAGTATGGGAAAAGCTGGTGGGAGTGATGATGATGTACAAGTGGTATCTCCACCAGCAACCACCACAGTCAAGTAAGATAAATTCAATGACCAAATAAAATAAACTGTAGTAATATACTTGTACTGTATACATGTAGGTTTTAGAGAAAACAGGGAACTATTAAACTTTGTTCATCCGTCCATCACATTTTTTGGAACCCATGTAATATCTTGGGAAGGACAATTTACCCAATGCTACCCAGTACTAGATAAATATTACCAAATATCACCACAGATATACATAATCATTCAATAATATAAAAAAAAAAATGAGTTCAATGGCTTGCCTTTCCAGTTATCTCCCTTGATCACCCCATACTAACAAATATTAACCCATACTATCAGAAATCTATCCATTTTTGTAAAATAATTAGCTTATATTTCCCCCAAATGTGATACAAGTACAATTATTTGAATAACAACTCATTTGTTTGTAGAAAATAAATTTATTAAATGTTTAGCTTATTACACCATGGACCTGATGCATTTGTTTTAAGGTCCATACATGTATGTTATCACTGATTCTATCAATGGATATTTCAGACTTGCATAATTCAATCGTAGTATGTGGTGCTATTTGGTAGTACATATTGACTACTTGGTAGTATTGGGTAAATTGTCCTGCCGCAATAACTCTCGGGTAAAACACAGTATTTGTCCAGTTTTCAATTTTCTGATGTTATATACAGTTTGGAAACAACTTCAGCATTTACAGTCTGTTTCTTATATTCAACATTTGTAATAATGACCTCTCCTAATGACCACCAAATTTCAAGTCAGTATACCAGTATATCTTTGTTGTTGAGTTATGGCAATAAACATGTCAAGTGGACAATAAACCCCAATTTCTCTTTCTTTGACAATACCTAATTCCCATGTTTACTCAAAATATATGTTTGCAATTGATAGTAAAATTAGACAGTAAATAACTGTACGGAATACTCATTATTTCATTTCAAATCTCAAACTGTCTTATATATTTATACTAGATTGACATTCCCTAAACTAAACGTAATAATCGTTGTTTTATTTTCAGTGATACAGAACCTCATCGACTTCGAGTATTATCATGGAATATTGATGGGCTTGATAAACTTAATCTAGAATCTAGAACTAAAGCAGTTTATGAAAAGATCAAGGCGTAAGTATAAAAACTATCAACAATCATGTTGTGATTCAATCACAGGAACAACCTTCCCTGTCAAAATACTATATACATGTAAATAGAATGGGAAGGGTAGTAGTGCTTCAGATCATATGGTCTGGCATTGAGTTAAATGGCATGGTATGTCACAAGTAGTGGTGCAAGACGGAGGGCCTGGCAAGGACAGTTGTCTAGTCATTTGAATGATATGAAAAACCGAGGTTCCGTGTACACATTGGCGTGCACGTTAAAGATCCCTTGACAGTTGGAATTCGATATAAGAGTAGGCTGTAGTGCCACTGTCCGGGCAAAGTTTCCCTCATAGCACACTGTATGGCGTATGCCCGTCTTCATTAGCCCAGTTCGGAGAAAAACAGTAGGACGTTAAACCCCCATTTCATTTCATTTCATGTCACAAGTAATAGTGTTGCCTGTCCAACCTCATGTGAATTATTGAAATAAAATTAAACCAGATGTAAGTATCGAAATGACCTAGTTTGTGTTGAGTGGATGTTAAACCCCATTTCTCTCCCTCTTACAAGAAATAGAGATCTGATTAATTAGATATTAATGTTGGCAGTGAGATAAAATAGACCTATTAAGAATATTATAGTTTTAATTATATTACCTTAAGGTTTTATAGTAAATGCAGGAGAACAACAATACACGCAAAACAAAACCGACAAGGCAAAACTACATAGACATTGTGAGAAATAAACAAATATCAAATCAAGTGAATGAATCTGAGGACCAACTGTAAGCGTCCACTGAGCTGTACAGTCTGGAGCCTGTAATGATGTAGAGTTCACTCAAAATAATAGATTAGTAAACTTTTGTTTGTTTTGTTTTTTTCAGTGAGAATCCACATGTAGTGTTTCTACAAGAAGTAGTACCACCATCTGAGGCTATGATCAGAGCTAATTGTAGTGATTATAGATTCATCTCTGGCTATGTTCATGGTAGTTTCCAATATTATTCAGCAATCTTACTCAAGAAAGATTTCCTCACAAAGTTTGATAGTTCTGATATTATCCAGTTTCCTGGAAGCATTATGGGTCGAAACCTTCTTATAGCTAAGGTACAGTACATTAGAATTCGGTTTTTAGTGCCTTATTTTCACCAAGACTCCGTCCCCTCACATCTTATATATCCCACTCAGTATCAGTTGAATTCTTTGATAGTTGGCGTGTTGGATGGTCAAATGGTTAGCACGTGCGCACTGTATCATAAGGTCTGTCATTGAGTCTACTGGCGTCGTTTCGATTCCCCGGCAATGAGTAGGGTCGCCCGTCTAACCTCACAGGTTTTCTAAGGGTTCTACGGTTACCTCCCACTGCTAAAGACCCCTATGTGCTTTCGATTCCCCGCTTGTACGAGACAAGGAGTAGTCTCGCCTGTCCAATCTTGTGGACTTTGTCTGGATCCTCCTGTTTCCTCCAACTGCTGACCCCTATGGCTATGCGCAAGCGAATTATTGAAATAAAATTGAACCATAAGTTATCCCCAAAATGACCTAGTTTGTGTCAAGTGGATGTTAAACCTCATTTCTCTTTCTCTCCCTCTCTTTGATAGTTACAAATAATATACAAATCCATATATTTGTATCATTTGCCTGATATCGATAATAGAAACCTCTGCAACATACAACACATTGCTTAGTAATAAATTCAGTAATTATGTATCTATAAAATTGTACCTTGTATCAATATCTGTTAGTTTTAGTATTGTCATGCCATTCAAAGTACCTCTGGACTGTTAATTATTTCTTTCTGATGGAAGATTGTCCAGTAAGAGTGCTATGTTAAACTATGCTTTGTGAAATTATTGTGTAAGTTAGGGTAAGGCCTGTGTTATGTCCACGTTATATTTATAGTTTATATTTATAATTATAGGCTACTATTAAAGGTATCAAGTTCAGTTTTATGACAGCTCATTTAGAAAGCTGTAAAGAACATAGTAAAGAAAGGATGGAACAACTAAGATCAGCGTTTAAGAAAGTAAAAGAATTTGAAAAAGATAGAACAGTTATATTCGGAGGAGATCTTAATATTAGAGACACGGAGGTTTGTAATCTAAATCTAACTTATAGTTTTAAATTTATTGTTTTAAATTAATTGTTTTTGAAATATGATGGCTTGTTCTAGAATTATTATATATCTTGCCTCCATCACTGCATCCTTTACTTACTGAAGTTACTGGCTTCTCCAGAACACTGAGTTTAAATATCAAATTGGCAAAAGACTAAGAGGAATCTTTCTATATGATAATGAATGAAATGAGATTTAATATCCTACTGTTCTGCTCCAACTGGGCTAATGATGACAGGCATACCCCATACAATGTGCTATGAAGGAGATTTGACCCTTCTATCGAATACCAACTGCTAAGGATCCTTGGGTTTTCTTCCAATTTGATGAGGGACTATACGTGTCCCTTGCCAGATCTACCATCCTGTACCACTAACAAGGGGAAACCACACCGGAAAATCCTGATGAACTTCTTGGTAAACAAAGGGATCGATCACGGAACCTCCCAGTTACTAACTGAGCCACTGTGGGCCCCTTTGTATGGTTTACCTAAAGTTAGATTGTTAGACCAAATTTAAGGTAAGCTTTTGCTTCTTTACACATATTAAAATATAATTTCAAATCTCACTGATTTTCTTTTAATTTGCAGATTGCTAAAATGAATGGAATTCCAGAAAATATATTTGATCTATGGGAAGTGACCGGAAAAAGACCAGAAGCTAAATTTACTTGGGATATGAACAGAAATGACAATAATGAATTTGGAGGACAATTTAAACCAAAGTGTCGTTTTGACCGACTATATATAAAACATTCCATACCCCGTACAGTAAACCCTGTTTATTTTGAACTGGTTGGATTAGAGAGGCTGAAAAATTGTCAAAGATTTGCAAGCGATCATTGGGGGTTATTGACACATTATGACAAAGTGTAATCAATAGGGTATTGATTGTGTTTGATTGTTAAAGTAAGAGCAGATCAAGCTTCAATGTTGAGGAATTCAGAATTGTTATATACTTGAATCAAGAATGTTAGGTGTCAGGACTGTGTAATAATTTACAAAGTAGATTCCTTTTGTTTTAAGTTAAAGCAAAACAAGATTTTGAGGTTATAATACATCATATCTATATTATAAAGCCAAATCCGTAAATAATATTTCTCTGAAATTTATTCTATATTTTATAAAACTCAAAATCCGAATATATTTCTTTGATTCAGCTTTTTACTGAGAAATATCGGCATTTAAGCTTACTTGATTCCAAAATGCTAATTTGCTTGTTTTTACACAATATGTTTAAGTTTTATGTACATAGTATCTTTAAAGTTGTTTTGTACGCTGTGCTGTTATATTTGTAAATAATGAAAATAAAGAAATCATTCCTGTTAACCAACATTCCTCATTGAATTGAGTTTAGGAGATCTAAAAAGAGTAATGGAAACTGTAGGCTGAAATATAATAATACAGAGAGCCATTATCTGACAATGAAATATTTTCCATACTTCCTAAATAACATGACAGGCAGTTGAAACTTTTGATAACTTGGATTTTAAAATGCAAAACTACACATGGAAAAAAAACAGTTTGTAAGGGAAGGTTAAATTGGTTAAATATTATTTTTCAGAACGTGTTGAACTGCCTATTAATTTTATAAAAGCTATTATTGTGACTGTCAATGCTTGTGGATGCTTGCACCCCAAGTGACTCAGTAATGAAACCATAATATGTGAGCTGTAAATTTGCGATTTTGACTCAAACAGTGCCAGTGGTCAGAACTGTGTAAAGGGAGGTAACCCTTGCATTTCAGTTCAGAGCCTTAAATCAAATACATAACTAGTCTGATAATATTTCCTGTTAATTAAAACAGATTAATTATCTTCTGTGTAACCTTTGGGTAAAAGTATGTGAGAAATTTAATAGAAGGCAGTTGTTTTGGAATTTTTGTTATTTATTAAATTTTTACTAAAAATTCTACCATATTGTATCAAATTTTTAACTTAGTAATTGACTTGTCTGCTAAGACATAATCCATAATCACACACACATAAGTAACAAAATCTGAACAAAATCAAGTACTAAGATATACAAGAATTAAGAGCCATAACGGGGACACAGTGTAGCCCATTTTGGTTTTGAAAGAGTGTAAGATTGTGATAATTCATACAATTAATTACATTATTTCTTGTTAAATTTCTAATTATACAGGAAATATTCAATTTATACCAAGTCCTTGTAAAGGTTTATTTTTATACGCCCACATTGTAAGAAAAATCCCATTTTTTTGTTTAGCTTGTTCTCTATCCATTTCTTGCAAATTGTGGGGCGTATCCTGCCTGGCAGCCGCTGGTTGTTATTTCCATTAAGTTCGTCAAGTACAAAACACTTGTTAATAATTAAACTCTTGCTTTATTATTATAAGAATGATGTTTTTAGAAATATAAAGCCTTCTACTCAAAATTGTATGGATATCTATAATTATGTTTCTTTTAAACATTTTTCTATAAAGGACAAGAAATTGTGAATATAAAGATACTTCTTTCATGTGGTAGACAGAAGGGGCACGCTTATCGTTCATCTTAAGTTCTGGCATACCTCGTGGCTTCAAAAATACCAAACACTTATGTCATTTCAAATAAAACTGAATGATAAGACCTGTGATTGAGATAAGTGCATTAAGTTGAGTGCCTTTAGTAGTCGTCTATTTTGCAGCACTTCAAGTTTTGTTTATTGCCGTAAATTGTCACTTTGGCTGTTTTGTTCTATTATACCCCCGAAGCAGTGGCAACGAGTAGCAACCGATTATTAATAATAATAATAGTCGTTATTGTTTAAGAATGTGATGTGTTTTCTGTAGGCTACATGTAATGTACTGTTTCGATGACATGAATACCGTTATTTTTACATTTTCACCAGATTTTCTTAGCTTAAAGCGATATTGCCAGATTTTGATGCAGTATTCAACTCTACATCTTCCCATGACCTTATGGGCTGACAGTGCCCAGAACATGGTGTTGGTTTTTTTTTCTTTTTTTATTCCGATCGAGACAATTTTGGCAAGCGATTGGTCAATCTGCGTCTGACCCACTATTTGGTTAATCTTTACTAAAATCATTACATCAAACGACACTTTATATATTTTTTTATAAACTGGCAGAGGTCTAGTTATTTTAAGCTACATGAACATATGCACATTGCAATTCTACTGTGGATAACTTTTAAAAAAAAAAATGCTCGTGTTTAAATGTAGAATCGTGTATATAATTCCAGTCGTCTTCAGGATTTTCCTCAATCCTACTATATTTTTGTATTTAACATTGCTACCATATTTAATTTGAAATGTCTGCAAACTGCAATACGAAAGAAGCAGTGGCTTGATCTGTAATAATTCGTCTCTACCTCTGCTCTAGTAATAAATCACTGAAAGATGTAGGCGTATTAAAATCAATGACTGGAATCAATTACTATTTAATGAAGGAGAATCGCCGAGTTCTTTTTCAATAAATTTAATGGAAGGTTGTTAAAGAGGAAGGCTATGACGTATTATCAGTTATACGAATCGGAATGAGCAATTATTTTTGCGTATCATTATACGTGAATGACGCTATTTCCTTAGGATTAGAACTAATAAGTTTCCTCTTCCAATAATATCAGACGATCATTAGAGAGTGGCCAATAGAGATAAGGGGATTAAATGTGTGTTGATGACGGCCAATCAGATAACCCCGGCACTATCGATTTAATTGTAGAAAAAGTCAGCTAAGGGAGAATATTTGACGGCTAATTTGTATTCAGATCACACAAGTATTATAATACAAAATAAGATTAGAGATGATCTCGAAGCTCAGTAATTGATTATTATTAAGTAGAATACTTTTTAAGACAATCAACAGAAAATATCTAGACACGAAAATCTTTAAAAACAATGTATTATATGTGCGATCAAATTTTTAAATTTTATATGCGGTGAATGTGAAGGTATTTTAAACAAGGTTGTCACAATCTAAACGTTCTTTAAAGGAGCTAAATCGCTAATATTTGGGACCTAGAAATTGACACAAATGGATCGCAACGCATATAATAATGTAATATGAATGTGTATAAACTGTTTTCCGTTTTTACCCTAACTTCAAATCAGTTATGTTCAGCGAAATACACCAGAAGTCTCAATCGAATGGCAATCTCTAGCTTCTGGTTATTCCAGTCTACACCGATAGTATGTATTGCGCATGCTCTCCAGATAGAATATGGCGTCACCGTTTGACATAATTTGTGGCATATGTCTAGCCCCATTCTTCGGGTCCCTAGTTACAAATGGCGCTGAAACGCATTATGGTACACGATTCGTGTACCAATGGTAAAATGTTTATTTTCTCTTAAATATTGGATATCAAAAGCCCATTTTTCCCGGTAAGATTACAACATCAATGTTGATTTAAATTGGCAAATAATTCGTGTATTCAATGTCGAAGACTTTGGATGGTATTGAGTTAGAGACTTAGCTACTCTAAATGTGTATCTGCATTATTAAGAGGTATTATGACCGTCACCAAAAATATATGTTTAGTAATACCATATTCAAACTAACCCTAATGTCACTTGCAATGTCGCAACTCCATGCACACTACTCATGTTCATTAAACTTCTTTCCATGGAAACCAATGTATATGCCTATATTAGCAGCGATCTCGTGGAAGGTTCTCGTCAAATTTTGCCCTGCATGTGCGTGCGTATTAACCCCATAGTTAAATCACGACTAATCGAAAAACTGCATTTTTACCAACAGGTGAAGATCTCTAGACTGTCATAATTCTTATCCGATTTAAAATATGCACATAGAATCGGGGCAGTGTACAAATTCACAAATTGAATTTTCTAGACAAAAAGCAAACGACGTATAATTTGATTCCGGCATCCTACAATGTAGTGTCCGTCCACAGATTCATGTGAACTCGGTACTATAAATTAGTGTCTTAATTGTAAACAAATTTGCAGAAATTGTTCATTGCTGATAATGGCAAATCACGGATTTATCTCTTGTTCATTTTTCTGAAAAAGGATGCAGTGGTTGATAAGTGTTGCTTTCGGACGACTTCCGGCAATAACCCACAAAGTCATGCAACTGATTGCGAAACCTGATTAACACAATTATTCACTGCTGCTGATGGTCGCATGTTTCGTTTCCACGTAACCTCTGTTTAATAATGATCATTACCTGTAGAATAGAAGACGGTGTTTTGTATCCAGACAGAGGAATTCCTACCTGCTCTACCTTGATTTGCTACTGACACTACTATGAATCTTTAACGTGTAGCACTTATTTGTACTCGGAACATTGACCCTTTCCATCCAACTGATCCCGCAACAGCACCAATGACGCAGAGGCCGCCCCTGTTGTCGCTTCAAGCAGGCTAAACATTTTAACAACAGAAGGATCGGGTGTCCAATTGGAAATTTGGATGTGTTCGTTGGCAAATCATTCAGCTAACCCCTTTCTGTTGCATGTGAAGGCGATACAGTGTTTAATGGATTTTTTAAAAAAGACATCATAATGGAATATAAATTGAAATTAAAATATAATCATGCTAGCCATTTCCTATGACATTCCTACAATCAATAATCGCTATGTATCAATATACGATATTTGTCCCAACCCTGCCGACTATTCCTGCAGGGGCAGCAACTTCAGACACGGATGCAGCTTTTTCAGCCAGAAAGAGTTTGTGTTGCACAGGGGTATAGTGATAAGCGGACGACTACAGGACAGAGACAGGGGGCAGGGCTGTGTGTGTAGGGGTGGATGGATGTTGCTGGATATTTGGGTTTCAATCGTGGATCAACATTTGAAACAAAACATATTTTATTAATAATTACAACAACAATACATTATAATACACTTCATCACATTTAACGCATCTGTTTATTAGATTGTTAGTAACATAATGTTCCGTTCTGTTTGGCACCGCACTGATTCTTTTCAAATATCAACTATACACATAGAGTACATTAGTCAATAGAAGAGATGTTCGAATAATATGCAAATCCAGGAAGTCAACAACAGTAGTAGTTTGTCCGTGTTCTGGTCAAGTGGGTAGCATGGGGCATATATTGCACAAAATACAGATTATTACACCAGTGACTATATTGTGGATTCATTGTGAAGTTTTTGTGAACAGTGTGTGAATTTGATCAATTCACATACTTTATAGCTGGATGTGTATGACTCTAAACCCGATTGAATAAAGTTAAACTGAACTTCGCCTTATCTTAACCGAATAACAAATTAATAATTCATTGTCGTACACATACGAATTACACTGCTCTAATTAAGTTCTGAACAATACCACGGCGAGGATACAGGTCGCATTGTAAATTATAAAATAAAGAAATCC